GTTTCCTTCTTTTTTTTTTTTTTTTTTTTACATTTATACAACCCAAATCTTTCGTTTCAACATAAAAATATTGCTTTTTTAATATTTGAAAAGTTAAATACATTTTTTCTTACATGGGTAAAATGGTATAAATGTGGAAATAAAATTTAGAAGTTAGATATGTAAATACATAAGAATTGAGTGGTATGAATGTAAATTTTCCAATTAAGAAAACATTATTTTTTTAATTTATTTTAATTTGCTAAAGGGTTCTTGTCCGGAAACATAGCAGCATAGCTTCATGTGAAACAGTCATACAATTCATCAAAAAATTTCTCGTTCTATGCGGACATATGTTCAGATAATAGGCTACTACTGTAAGTAGGGGAAAATAGTTGTGTACATAAGACGTACGCAGCGCTGCGTACGTCAGGGGTTGTTCAGGGGGTACAGGGGGGTTATATTCGGGTCATACCCCCCTGTAACCTCCATGTAACTTATTTGTACCCATGAAACTACAGAAGCGCGGAACTCATTTGTAGGTTACAGGTAGTTTACAAAGAGATTACAGAGGAATTATAGAGGGGTATAACACCGATATAACCCCCTGTACCCCCTGAATAACCCATGGACGTACGCAGCGCTGCGTATGTCTTATATTCGCAAATATTTTCCATAAGTAGGATAATGATCTTCATCCGTGCTTATGTTTATATCTCTATCAACTCAATGATTATCAAAGATATATCATCTTTGAACTCAAACCGCTCTTACCTAATATTATATCACCTTAGCAGTCTGCTTTTGTCAAGGGTCGAGATATCACTGATAATATTTTCTAGCGCAAGAATTAATTGAGGATCTCGATAAGAAATGTTGTGGGGGTAACATGATTTAAAAAGGCTTTTGACACTATTAGCTAGAATTTTATTATTAACATTCTTCATGCTTGTGGTTTTCATCATAATTTCATTTCTCTTATCAAGAGATGGCTTTATAATAATCACTACAGTGTGATGTGATGGTTAATGACAATTCTTACGGCTATTTTTTTGTGCATAGAGGTATTAAGCAAGGTGATCCTCTTTCCCCTTCAATCTTTATAATTTCTTTTGATTATTTCTCTCAGTTAGTTAATGAACTGTAGCATAATAGGGTGTATACTCACTTTCATCATCAATCCAAGATTGTGGTTAGTCATCTTGCTTATACATATAACGCTATTCTTTTCTCTAATGCTAGTAAAAATACCATCAAATTGCTGATGCGTGCTCTCGAGGAATTTCAAAATACTTATGGCTTAACTTTTAACAGAGATAAGTGCAATTTTTACTTTGGGAAGACTGTTAAGAGCTCGATTGCTAATTGGGCTATTTCTTTTACTGGTTGTCACGCTGCCTCTCTTCCACTTAAATATATTCGAGTTAACCTCCTTAGGGGTCGTCGGAAACAAACTCCGTTAGATGATGTTGTTGATAAAACCAAATCCAAAATCGAGGATTGAAGAAATACTTTTCTCTCTTATGGAGGTCGTATCACCTTATTCAAAAGTGTTCTCGTCAAGATTCCAATGTATGTTATGTAAATTCTCAATCTCAAAAAGAGTACCCAGCTTATTTTAGAGAGATTGTTTAATCGGTTTCTCTGGTTTGGTGGTTATTCTAGGAAGCATTGGACTACTTTCAAGAATGTTTGTAAACCTAAGGTTGCTGGTGGCTTAGGGATTAAAAATATGGATCAAATTTTCGTTATTAATATGGGCAAGTTGTGGTTTAAATTCCGTGCTAACAACTCTTTGTGGGCTAATTTTCTTCATCATAAATATTGCTCTCGTTACCACCCGGCTGTGGTTCAGTGGAGGGTGGGAGATTCCAAGATTTGGAAAGTCATTCTTAAAGCGAGAAATACAGCTAACAAATTTATCTTTTGGGACGTTGGGGACGGTAACATTTCTCTGTGGCATGATCAATGGGGTTTGGGGGATGAGGATTTTTCTCTACAGCAAGGTTTTTTCAATGATTTAATTATCTCTGACTTGTGGCTTCACGGTAATTGGGAGGTCAATAAATTGAATGAATTTTTTGGTGTCCAGGCAGCTAGAATTTCTAAAATCTCTATTAAGAATAGTATGAGGGGTACCCCTTTGTGGAAATCCACGACATGTATCTCTCCCACTAAATTGCTTTATACTAATCTTTATCATTTTAGGAATTGGAGATGGGGGCGGGTTATTTGGAACAAATATATTTCACCATCTATTTCTTTCTTCTTATGGAGGTATTTTCTTAATATGCTGCCTTTGGATGCTATTTTGAAACTAAAAGGTTTGAAATTGGCATCTCAATACTATCTTTGTAAGCGGAAATTGGAAACGGCTGCACATCTATTTTTTCTGTCCCTTTGTTGTTGATACTTGGAATAGGTTTGGTAATCATTTTAATATTAATTGGAGGATTTTCTCCTCTATTCTTGATTATCTCTCTATTTGGAGAGAAGCTACACAGGTGGATAAAAAGCTTTTTTGGTTTCCTCTTGTGGTTCTTTGGTTCATATAGATGGCGAGAAACTATGCTAAATATGAGAATACTATGTTTCATCCTAATCTTACTGTTTCTAATATTCTTGCTCATTTTCAGAGAGCTTATCAGGCTCTTTGTTTAGCCAATGATATGGCGCCGATGAGGTTGGGTAGGAGGGCCATCTTTTTTAGATGGCAACCCCCACCTTTAGATTGGGTTATGTTTAATATTGATGGTAGTTGGCATTCCGGTGATGCGGGTGCGGGGGGAATTTTGAGGAATCATGCTGGGCAGTATCTGTTTTACTTTGCATCTCCTTTATTCGCCTCTACGCCTTTGGAGGCTGAATTTTGGGCTTTATTGTTAGCCTTGCAGGTTGTTGCACAACTTAAGATATCAAAAATTATTTTTTGAGATTGATTCACAAATACTTTTTAATGAGTTTTACAAGCTACTGGGCCTAGATGGGATTTGCTTGTCATTACGAATCGAATTCGTGATGTTATTCAAAGATACAATTTAACTATTCAGTTATCCTTTATTTATAGAGAAGGCAATTCCCCGGCTAATTGGCTTGCTAATAAGGGTAGAGTGGCTACCAAGATATTTTATGTGATTCGTCCCAGACCGCAGCTTAAACATTTTATTATGGGTGACTTGATTGAGCTCCCTTGTATCAGAATTTAGTTGGTTGAGCTCTCTGTTTGGAATCGATTTTTACCTGGAGCAATTTTTCTTCTGTTTGTATGTGTCTTATGGTTTCAAAAATATTCTCTCTCATGATAGTCAGTGTTCTTTATACACTTGGAAGAGGGTAAAGAATAGGCTTTCTCTTATTTTGCACAAAATAATATATATATATATATATATATATATATATACAAATGATAAATTTTACAATCACCATCCAATCACAGCAAATAATACAGTATATTAGTGTACGAAGGCATTTAAAAAGCAATTATTATCCTCAACCACAGCTCCAGACAAGTAATAAGTCTATGATATTATCTTAAGATCTGACTTCTTACAATTATCGGACAGATAAAGCATGATGATATACGTCAAACTTAGGTAAAATTTCTATGCATAAATTTAAATTAAGGGGCATTTACATACATGCCACACAATTCTTATGTATTTACATATCCAAAACCTAAACATTCATATCAACATCACATCAAAAATGCCACCAACACTGTCTTTTATAAGTGAAATGTTCACAATACCAAAATGTTATGACTGTAAATATCAAAATTTCGGGATACCAAAATGTTATGACTGTAAATATCAAAATTTCAGGTGTTAAATATGCAAATACATAGGAATTGTGTGATATGAATGCAAATTTCACTTAAATTAAATACAACCTGCAAAAGACTATAAATAGAAGATGAATAAAATCTCTGCAATCACTTTTTTTGCTTCAATAGCTCACTTGTGCATGAAAGTTCTAAAATTGCAGATTTATCCAACCCAAGCAGAGCAAATACAGAATCTAACGGGACATAAACCCCTACTTCATCGTTAAAAATATAAAAATAATATCTTCATAAATAGCTGCAACGATGTAAATAAAGCTCAACAGACTTTTAAGGAACATTCATCACCTGTATTGACTGCAACATATCAGATAGAGCAATGACCAAGTCTCCAGATTGGATCATACCTCTTTGTTTCAGCAGTGAGAAAGTTCTGTTGAGATTGCTCTCCATGTCGTCGGAGAAGCTCAGACGAAAAGGTATTAGGCCCCATTGCAAGTTTAGGCGTCGCCGGACGGAAGTCGAGGTGGTGAAGGCGAAGATTGGGCAGTCGGGGCGGCAGCGAGAGAGAAGAGAGGCCATATGCCCGGTTTTGGTGTAGACAAAGAGGGCATCCACTCCTAAGTTGTTGGCTGCAGCAAAATTAAATAAATAAATAAATCTTAAGAGATTGGTTATTAGAGGAATGGCGTGTGTTATATGTATATATAAGATTAAGTAATAAAAAAAAATAGATTTTATATGATTTAGACATTTATAGCAATAAAATGTATCATTTGATGAATAGATAAAATTATTTTTGATGTTTAGAGGCAAGATGAAAGATGTTGAAAAGAATTTCTAAAAAAAGAGAAAATAATAAAGAAGAACCCAAATGATGACAAGACTTCGAATCTATAGACCCATTCTTTAGCAACTGTAATATGTTTGTTTCTACTTGGATGTTGCTTGCATATCATGCACACTTTACTATCACACTTTACTATCACTTAATGGCAAGCGAAACTCAATATTTGTTCCATACTAAAATACAACTATATAGAAAATTCATCCAATTTTCACGGTGCTTAGAATATTTCCATAATATATATAATAATTTAAACTAACAACAACAACAAAGCCTTCATCTCACTACATGGGGTTGGCTACATGAATCCTTTTTCTCCATTGCGTCCTATTTATGGTCATATTTTCATTTAGTTCTAATTAATTAAGATCATTTTTTATACAATAAGCCCAATTTTTCCTAGGTCTACCTCTGCCTTTTATAACATAAGTCGAATCTAAAACATCTACTCTCCTAATTGGATCATCAGATGGTCGACGTTTAATGTGACCAAACCATCTAAGCCTATCACAGATATATTCATTTCTCATTTTGTCTCTGAGTGTAAAGTCACTCCTCCACCTAATCATTCTCATCTCGACAATACTTCATTTAGTACATTTAGAATTAGGCTTCTCTTTTAAAGGCCAACATTCAGTGCCATAGAGCACTGCAGATCTCACAACCATCTAATAAAATTTTCCTTTCAGTCTAAGCAGAATATTTATATCACACAAAAGGCCCGAAGCATTCCTCCACTTCAACCAACCAACTTGAATTCTACTGAATTCTAAACTTGAATTCTACTATTAACATCCCCATCTATATCACCCTCGCTTTGAACAATAGATCCGAGATTTCTAAATCGTTCCCACCTTTTAATAATTTGATCATCCAAAGTTACACTTATGTCACTAGAGCTACTACTGCTAAAATTTCATTCCATGTATTCAGTTTTAGTTCTACTCAAATGAAGGCCTTTAGAATCCAATGTAGACATCCATAATTCAAGCTTTTCCTGGGCTCGTGGCTCGTTCTCTCATCTTATCCACGAGAAGGATGTCATCAGCAAAAAGCATACACCAAGGTACATCCTCCCGTAAATGACCAGTAAGGCAAATAGAACGATTAATTAGGAGATAAATAATAATAAATTATTTTATATAAAATGGAAAATATCTTTTTTTTACATTTTTTATAATTTAAATATAAAATCTTAAATTTTAAAATATTTTAAGTTTATTTTATATTAATTATTTTTTAAACAAGCCAGATCACAAGTTAATGAGTTGAGTCGGGGATGGCTTGTTAGCTCATCAAACTCATCTCATAAGCCACTTATCAAGTCGAATCCGAGCTAGCCCACAAGTCGACTTGGCTCAATTACACCACTAAATGCAACAATGCAAATGTGGTTATGTATAATGCTCTAGATTTCCTATGGTTAGATAATGTGATATTCAATTAAGAAAACAAAAAGAAGGGTAAGATTTACATGCATACCGCACAATTCTTGTGTATCACATATCTAATGTCACGACTGGGCACGAAAAATTAGAATTAACTACAATTCTTGTGTATCACATATCTAATGTCACGACTTGGCACGAAATATTAGAATTAACTAAGGAGGGTACGAGCGATCGAACCATGAAAGACATTTATAAATATTAACATTAATCCAAAAAAAAATATTCATATAGAAAAGAATACTAATCCCCAATACACATAAACAATCATCTAACATATACATATGATCACTCTGTGATACAGTAAAACAATTAATACATAGATGTGAAAACAAATTAACATATTGTTATCTATCACCAAGTGTCTCTCTCATCCTGTAAACAAATTCTCTTTTAACAGACATATCAATCTAGTAAACCTTTTCCTAAAATTAACGGTTAAACATGTTAATTTTTAAGAAACTTGGTAAATAATTACTACTTTATTATGCATTAAATCTTTATAAAAATGCCTAACATAAATGCTAAAAGAAATATAAAATATCTAAAAAAAACTTTGTATTTTTCATTTTTTTTTAAATGAAATTTTATTATATTATCAATTATAATTTTATTTTCATTTAGTATTTTTCTTTTTTTTTTCTTTTCATTTTTAGAAGCCATTTCAGAAGCATCGTCAAAACACTTTTTACTTTGTATCATAAAGGCACAAATATTTATATTTCTTTTTTCATTTTATATCATAAAGGCACAATCATTTTCATTTGATTTTCCTTTAATGTGCACGAGTACATTAACATCCCCTACAACTACCATAGTGGTTGACTAATGATAGACTTAATCATTTATCTTACATTTAGCTTATATTTCATTTCTTTCCATAATTAAATCCATTAAATATTTCATTTAATACAGTGCAAAAGATTAAAAAATTGAAATCATAAAACATGCAGACCATTTTTACTTGAATTCATTCAGTTATGAGAGTTTTGTTAATATATATAACAAATGAAATGTTTTAAAAGCATAAAAAAATTAATTTAGCATAAATAAAATAAAAATTACTCACATTGACCATTAGAAGACTTCTATAAATGCTTATCCATTTATTTCCTTTAACAATCACCTACATCAATTAAAAGTGCATATATAGACATTTAATTAAAATAGCATCTATGAAAGCATAAACATTTACCCCTGCTTTATCTTTTCTCTATTGCACAATCATCAGTCTTGATCCAAATAAGTTTTCTTCTACACTTCCTTGGGTTACTTAACAAAAACATATACCACCTTAAATGGAAATAAAATTAATATATAGAATATTTCAATAACAAACTTTAAAATTATCTTTAATGTCACAACTTCCTTCTTCTCCTTCCAGTCTGAAACTTATATAACTTAAATCCTGATTTAATTAAACATACTATTAATACTAAATAAATAAACATATATACTAAATTTATTAATTAACATGATAAAATCTTAACTCACCTTAAAGCCTTTTGGTTCAACCTAAACTCACACATGAGAGCAAAATTTGCAAGCTAGGGTTGCTCGGCTCGATTCAATCTTCCCCTTCTTATGCTAGATGCCTCCTCTTGTAAGCACACAATGCTTCGTAAGCTCTAACTCCTTTTGCTCACAGTCGCAGCCTCTTGTCTCACAGAATCCAACCCACTCGCAAGTTCGAACAAAGCATCCTCCTTCAACTTTGAGGAACAGTTTGCTCGCAGCCAAACCCTAAGGCTATAGTAGCAACGTCAATTACCTCCTACACGCATCACCGCTCAACTCTCTCCAATGAACAACGCTCCTCCTCTTCACCTTAACACACAAAGGCCCCAGCATCAACTTCCGCCAATGGCATCAAATCTCTGGACATAGAAGCATGTGAACCCTTCTTCTTTTTCTTCTTCTTCCTCCTCCCCTCCCACTTTCACTCTCTAATACCGGAACTAGTTTGAAAACCAGCGGAAACAAAAAAAACAAACTTTTATTAATATATACTGCCTTTTAACACGGCACAAACGGAAAGGTAAAAACAACAACAACAACAACAACAGATCAATCTCTGGTTAGGGTCGGATAAGAAAATCCGAGAGCAGGGGTAGCGTAGGCAACGTGGTGAGGGTATGGGGAAGAGTTAGTGGCTGAGAGGTCGGTTAGGAATGGGTTTGGGGTTTGGTAGGTGGGCCGAACAGCGAGAGTGGCTGCAGGGAATGGGTTGTTGGGGACTGGTAGGTAATCCAGAGAGCTGGGACAGCCCGGCTGAGGGTAGTAATGAAGCAGCCTGAAGATGGGGAGGGTCTGGAGGGGTGGAAAGCGTGTAGGAATGTGGGGAAAGGGATTCGGCTGGCTGGGAAGTGGTCTGGACAGCAGAGACGGCTGCAGTAGATGGGTGGCAAGGCGGTTGGGGATGTAGAGAAAGTGGTCGGCGATCTAGGGGGATGCAGGGAACAAAATGGGGAGGAAGATAAAGGAGGATACAACGCCACCTCAGAGCAGGATACAGCCAAAGCACCACCCGTCATCGGATACAACCCTAGCAAGGGAGAAGTGACTCCAAAGGAGAATACCAAACAAAACAGCAAGCAAAAATTGAACCCTAATTCTCAAAAACAGTAATTATAGACTCCAAAAGGGAAAGAACACAAAAGGAAAGCAAGGGGAGGGGTTGCACCGGCGCCTATGCCAATCAGCTCAGTTGATTAGCTGTTTCCCGCACCTGTACGGGAAATCGCGCACCTGTATCACTCTCTATCTCTCACTCTCTCTGTCTCTTCCTCGTCTCCTTCGTCTCCTAATGATAGATCGGTCTCAACGGTTACATTCAAACTGACCTATCAGTTAAAAATTTTCCTTTTTTTTTTATTACAGTTATTATATTTAACACCTAAGCTTTAATTTTAACAGATATGCCATCTCACCCATGCATGGAAAGGTGTCTTAACTTAATAAATGTTAAAATAGTGGTATTTTAGATATGATATGACATACTTGGGTGGCATAAATGTAAAAGGTAAAGTTTAGGCGTTAGATATGTAAATACATAAGAATTAGATGGCATGTATGTAAATGCCCCCCAAAAAAACATAACTATGAAAAATTTGTAAGTATCTAGGGTGTCAAAAAGTGCAAAAAATGCTTACCCATTTTCGCAGCAGAATTGCAGATTTCCTCAGATATTTTGTCAGAAAAAGACGAAGCCACATCAGGGAGCTCCATGCCTTCATAACGTTTCTCCTCTCTCCACCACCTTTCGATTCGTAGGCTGACACTTCGCAGCACAGCAAGAGCCTTCTCAGGGAATTGCCCCATGGCCGACTCACCAGATAGCATTAGAGCATCCGCTCTCTGCCTTACAGCCTCCGAAACATCGGCGACCTCAGCTCTCGTCGGAGTTGGGTACTCAATCATGGATTCAAGCAGCTGTGAGGCAACAATGACTGGTCTGTTAAGCTGCCTGCAAGTAATGCTGAACCGAGGGGACTTGCTCCAGTGGAATCTGTGCTCCCAAATCTCCTCTAGCCACCATAGCTCCATCTGAAGCGAGAACAATCTCCTCCAAGTTTTTTAAAGAATCAATGCTTTCAACCTTTGCAATCACTGAAATCTCTCTGTTAATATGGAAATGAGATGTTAAAAAGGTAGCGATGTGGTTTTTTAATGTGATGCTACAGATTTGAGTGGTATGCATGTAAATATGAATGTTTAGGTAATTGTTTAGGTGTTAGATATATAAATACATAAGAATTGTGTGGTATGTATGTAAATGCCCCATTTTTATATTGATGTTCTGAAGAAAACAACAATACAAATATCCAGTGCCTAATAATCAAACTAAAACAGTTTAAAGCATTGGGCTATAGAGTCCTGGCTTCAACTATACTAAGCTGAAATCAATAAGGACAAAAGGCATTGCGCTTCAATGGGCAGGGGAGGAGTGAAGCATGGAACATGTGCCCATAGATAGATGCAGCCATAAACAAACAAGAACTGATATGTGTTGATAAATTTCGTAATAAATTTATCCAACAAGACTAGAATTTGCAAAAACCCAGAAAAATTAGTGATTTACCATACATGGCAAACTACTGGTATGTAGAACATAAAATTTAGGGTCATTCACATACATAGAACACGCCTCTTACACATATCTCACACCTGAAGTTTCATATTTACACACATAGCATTCAAATCTTTAATATCACATCAAAAATAACATTATTACTACTTTTAAAAGTGAAATACACTAAAATTGGCCCATAAGCATCTGAAATATCATTCCTCTCACAAATAGCAGAAGATAAAAAAGAGAAAATAGGATAATTTTGATGAAGTTTAACCGCTTGATATCTAATGTATCTAAAAAATAATAGGATATTTTTTTATGCAGTTAAACAATTTGTAATCAAATATATTTACCTGTCACGACATCTTGCAGCTATGTAGCTTTTGAGATGATTAATAACCTCTGCAGACTTCACAAAAGATACTGCAATGAAATCTACACCTTCAGCGATCCCAAAATCGATGTCGAGCCAATCCTGAGTAAATTTCAAAACCAATCAGATGCATAATGATTCTATTAAAAAGTTCAATTTGGAAGTTTAAAGAGCATAGAAAATCACATCATATAAAATATTCGAATTGCTTTCAAAGTTCATTTCCCATAAAATTTCCAATGTTTATTTACACAAACTTTAAAAATGTAATTCTAAATAAGGAAATAGGACATACTATATATATATAT